TTTTACCAACAAAGATAAGAGGCCAGGCCACTCTAAATTAGCCTATCTGATGCAGGTTAGGACAATGTTCTGGGAGGTAGGAGATGTGAGTTCATCTCCCTTCAGGTTGAGAACAAGTGAGGTTTTTAATAAAGGGCATAGCACATCCTTCTGTGGCAGAAGTTGCACTTGTGCATAGCCTCATCTTTTAGGCATGCTCTGAGAAAACTCATGAAATCAAGACCTTCAGGTCATGGTGACAATTGGCTGATGTATCCTAACAAGGCCTATGCATGTGCTGAGCACTTACCTCCTCAGCCCTATTAGACAAGCCAGAAGCAGACCTGAAGGCAGCAGGTATCTGGGACCTAAGGCATCTAGGGAACTCCAGTACCTTACAGGTGAGATGGGGATTTTAAGTATCACAATTTTGAATTTAGATGCCCAACATGAGAATAAGGCTATTTTTAGTACCTTTTGTGGATCTAGAGCCAAGCGGGTTCCTGTCCCTAGCCTTGAAACGAGAGGAAGAGATGCAAAGGAAAAAGTTTTTGGGTTTCTTCAGCTAGCTTTGTCAAGGAAAGACCTTTGCTTAATAAGCTTTTTGTTAGAATAGTATACTGAACCCTGATGGAAGATGCCCCATTCAGACCTTTTGGGGGTGGAGAGATTAGGCCAGGAGCTACACTTATCTGGGCACCAGGAGAAAAAGAGACTATCATCTGCATGCAAAGCCAAGAGAGAGAGAAAAATAACTGTACTAGTGAGTGGTGGCTCCTTAGTGATGGAATGGAGATCCCCAAGGTCCATCAGTCTGCAGAAGAGACAAATCTGCCAATTGAGCAGAAATACAAAGTTTCAGTTTCAGGGATCCACTCTCACACTTCAACTACTTTGGGAAAGACCACCAACAGACCTTTCATATCCTCTTCATCTTTTCCAGAGAAGTCATGATTAAATAAAGAGGAACAGCTGTGTCCCTTCTGGGTTGGGTAAACTGCTTTGAATAAAAGGTAGGATGAGCGGTTATAAGGGGCTGATGGAACAGTTTATCCACTTGCAGTCATAAGTATGTGGTGTCTGCAACCTTGGAGCAGAGCAAGGCTTCACTTTTCTATTCTGAACAAAATGTTTTCATAACTTTATCTGTGGGATAATCTGCTTTGGCTTAAACAAATATGTAAAGGTGAAGTCAACACATGCATGTAAATCAGGCCAAGGTTTCTCTTGCAGGTTGGGTCTAGTGTTGTTGAAATCAAGGGGAAATGACTCCATACTTTTTAGGTAGACCCCATTGCATTCTATGGTAAATTGGCTAGCGATATTAGTGAGAATAAAGTTTGTAAGTGAGGTCAGAACGGGTTGTCTGTCAATTTTTGAGCCTCTGGGTATCTGTCCAATTTTTTACCTACTGAGAGATGAGAATGCCCACACTTTATGCAATAAGATCTGTAGATATGAGCTGGGTGGGAGGAAAATTTAAAACCATCTAATTAATTAATATTATTGCAGAAGATTGAAAACAGGGAAATAGAGCTGTTAGAAAGTAGTATGCCTCCATGTTCCACTTCCAGAGAGTTTTATTTTGCTATCTGGGATACTGCAAGTAGTGGTCTTATTTAAAAGTCTGCTTTAGCCGCTGCAAAGTGAAGAGTGCAATAAGTATATAAGCACAGTTTCACTTTATCTCTGTTTGTAGGTTAGAGTTATAAGTAAAACTTAGTCACTCAGAAAGAGTATGTTGTAGTGAGTTCTTGTTAGATTTTGAAGGTCTGTAAAGAGCTTAAATACTGGAATTCTCAAATCCTACATGGGACTTACTTTATTAAATTGAGCCCATGCTGAAACTTAAATCCCTATCTGGAGCTGTCAGTCTGATATTTGAGGCTCAAGTCACTGTTCCTCTCAGACCCTTGAGACCTGTTTTACTGCAGAATGGAGTAGAAAATTCACCTCTACCAACCCAGGACTTTTTCAGGATCCTTTCTCTCCCACTCAGACAAACAGCCAACACCCTTCTGAGTGACCATCACAGATAGACATTTCCAGAAAATTGGTATAAATTTATAAATGTATATGATTTGCTACCTGTAATATCAGGAGGGACACTTGAGGATCTTAGAGGTCCCTTCCAATCCTATGTTTTAATATATAGCTTTTCCTGGGTTCATGCATGAGTTGTTATGAACCCTTACAGGGTTTGCCTCATCAGCAGAGAGGGTTTGCGATCAGAATCCTGATGTCTGCTGTCCAGGATCTGAAAGTAAGCAGTCTGTGGACATTCATTAGGAAGTTCATCACCTCAGACTTTCAGCTTCTCACCCCTCCTTTTCTCTGTGTCCTATGTCCCATCTGTTCTCAAAGCATGCAGCGAAAGATAGCTCCTTGAAAGGTATTAGGGTTAATGGAGGACAAGCATGGCTTCAGGGAGTAAGGTCTGACAGTCTCTCAGCTGTATGTTCTTCAGCTCGTGTTCACCAAGTTTTCAGAGATGGGATGAAGTTTGCTGAATCATGGATAACCTCTAGCCCTGTGCCGAGTTCCAGTGAGTTTATAATTTTGATCTGATTACCTTTCACTGCTCTGAGTGCAGTGTGCCTCTCCCCATGATATTTATAAATAACCTTTAAAGATATATTCATTTTTATAAAACAAATATACATTGTTTTAAAAATTGTCCCATTAGAATACTACATCAAGAATAGATCTACTTGTTTACTGAGGGGGCATAACAGATGGACACATCTTGTGATCTGGTCTTGAAAATTGTGTAATTATTTAAGTAGGCTGTTTTTTATCTATAAGATTTCTGTCTCTAGCAATATTGTATTTTACACGCTTTTATGAATCTGGTGATGATTTGATTCTCATGTTCATTACATTAAAGCTTTTAAGAGCTTTAACAGTGCATAGAGTTAAAACTTTTAGATACAGTGCATCTGATGCTGTTAATGTGCGACTGAGATCAAATATCTCTTTACTTTTTCCCCTACACCTTCAAACAAAACTAGTCATATAAAAGTCAGATATGATATGCTGAGGCCCCCCTCCTGATAAAGTTTAGTAGTAATGAGCTCATGCACAGTAGTAATGCGCTACTGCTCAGTAAGCATCACTAGGCAATTGTGCTGAGACACTACTGTGCAGTAACACCAGTTACCGTGCAGTCATTTAGTACTTGGTTATGCACGTACTAAATGACTGTTCATTAACAACTGCAGAATCAGCATCTCATGTAGATATGGCCACTAACATATAATCACAGCTTACTGGGAATAGAAACCTCAGAACTTTATATGGAACTAGTGAAAGAAATTCACTTACACTGGCAGCAATTAAATCACTTCCTTCAGGAACTACATCAAGAAAATAAGGATTTTAGTACGTAAGGGTTGATCTTGGTACTGAAGACCTGCAACTTCTGTTGATAACTTAAGGAGTTGCACCACCCAGTGTGTTGGTGAATTGGACTCACCCTGATGGTTACTGGAATAATTGCATAGTCTAATTATGAGAAAGCATTATAAAGTATTTAAGGATGAGTCAAATATCATTTAATAAACTTCCTTCTGTCAAGGGAGTAACAGGAAACCAACCATTATATGTTTTTCCATACATTTCCTGCCAGCAGAGGTTGTGTGGTTAGCACAGATGAGGGGAAAATTATTTCCCATATTTTGGTATTTTATGTAGTATCTCCAATTTCTTTTTCTCCTTCCTTACAAGTACAGAGCAGAAACTGTAATTGGTGTATGAGCCAATGACAACCCTGATAGACAGGTACCATTCATAACTTATTATCATCGCTTACTATCTAAATACAGGAACTAGGAGGTACCTGTAGATGCTGACTGGCAAAAATGAATTGACTCATAAATGCAAGGTGATTTTCTATCACAAATTTCAAGTGATCTGATCCCAACAGATCGGATTTACAAACTTAAATAAAAACTTGTGAAAGGTCCTGTTGTAGTTTATAAAAAAAGGGGTGGGGGTGGGAAATAAACCTTGCTTTTGCAAAACAGGAACTCCAGAATGGAAATCAGAAAAGGGATTTGATGGATTGAAATCTCTTCACTAGTTTCCCATAACACAAGATGACAAAAGAGGGTGATTTTTTTTAACAGAAATTAAATGGAATAACAGAGAACCTCAGAATCAGAACATAAATGAGGCTTCAACTTGTTATTATTCCTTTACAATTTCTTCTGAATTATTCTAGATGATCTGTTTTCTTTCTTCCCTGTATCTTCTCATACTAATCAAATTGAAAAAGTTAACCAGACTGCAAAATGACTTAATTTTTTGTATTTAAGTTACTGTGGTTAGTTGTTGGATTTCTTTATATTAAATTATAGTTTATCATGGTACAGTCTAGGATTCAAATTTCAAGTCATTTGCCACTTAATAATTAGTAGCAAGGATAGATTTGTCTGGCCATGGTCCTCTTTTGTTGTGTCCCTATTACTAAACTTTAAAAAATACAGAAGCTTCACAAAGGCTCCAAATAGGTTTACACAAACCACAGAAACTTCTAGAAGTAAATAAAAATATTTTTATTTTAATAAAAATATTGTAATAAAATATTTGTTTATTATAATAAGATTTTATTTATTGTGATACAATATTTTTATCAAGTTAGTTTTCAATGTGAATTTAAATGTATCCTATCCTCTTACTTTTACAACAGAACCACAGAAATGTCCAGAAGTAAATAAAATATTTTATTTATATAAAATCACAGTTTAGTGCACACAATAGCAAATACATTAAAATTCTAAAGTTCCATGCATCCCATTAGTTTTTCCTGTCAGCACCAAATATCATAGGGGTACTTGAAGTAAACTCTAGTATTTTCATGTTCCTTGATATTATTTTAACTATATGTAGTTTCCTAAGAATATTGCAACTTTTCTGGATAGTGTAGGAGTTCACAAGAATTGTCACAATCAATGATTTGTTGACTTGGTGCACATTATTATTTGATAAGAATCCTCATGCTTTCTTTTTTTAATCTTTAGTATAATATACAAACAGATCAGTACAGAAGTTGTGATAACATCTCTGCCAAATCATCAGATAGTGATGTCAGTGATGTGTCAGCCATTTCCCGTACCAGCAGTGCCTCACGCCTCAGCAGCACAAGCTTTATGTCAGAGCAATCTGAGCGCCCAAGGGGCAGAATCAGGTGAGTTTACAATGTTAATTTAAATGTATCCTATCCTCTTATTTGTACAAATGAAACACAAAATAAAAATACAACTAGAAATAACTGAAATTTGCTGACTGTACCAGTGTAAATACTTACAATATTTATCTATTCTCTCTCAGACCCCCCCCCCCCAAAAAAGTTTTATTCTTAGTTTTGTATAAAATGAACATGTTTTGCACCGTAGCACTTAGCTATTTAAACAGGTGAACACAAACTTTGTAGGCTGGGCAACATCAAATGTCTGTACCAGTACAAACTTGTAGGAACCTCAGTATCATCTCAATCCTTGCAATGAATCACTGTGAAAAATATAATGAAAGTAAAACTTTGCAGCAGGTACCCAAGCACTGAAATCTTCTGAGTTTGTCTTATTTTGCTAATATAAGATCCACTCTTGTTTTATACATATATAAACAATTTAATTTTGTCTAGGCAGTTGATAGTACCTTAATCTTTAGCGAAACAACTTGGCCTTTGCACAAAATGCAGTTTAATATACAGTTCCTTTTATGTATGTGAAACAATTATAAAACACATTAATTTTTAAATACACCATTGCTTCAAGAGCAATTTAATTTCTGTTATTTGCAGCCCAGATATCTCTATCTTCCTTGACAGTAATTTACTTTCAATGGCAGTGATGTTTAGGTGTACAGATGGTTCTATCATACTTCATTAAAGGCAAAGAAGCAACTCCCAGGGGTGTCAATGAATGCCAAAATGAGCCTGTAATCTGTCACTACATCCCCCTTGGGACTGAACTCTAACAACAGCTGCTTTTCCAAGTGGGTGTCTTAGAGTAGCTAAATTAAGAGCTTTTAAACTTATCATTTCCATAAACAACTGTCAGTATGATCAAAGACTAGAAACTTACCACTTAATATCACAACACGATGCTACCCATGCTCACCAATAGCACTGGAAATTAGGTGTAGACTGCTGTTCTGGTCCTGCTTTCACAATAGTCAGTTACTTCAGCGGAACTTAAAACTGGGCTTTTACATCAGCTAGGTGAGTTAAATTTATTGTGGAAAGGACGATCATCCTATTTTGAATATATTAGAAATATTTTATTTCGACCAGGTGAAATTATATTTGAGATAATGTAAAATCATAATCTAGGAAAGAACTTAAATGATACTACTCACATGCTTAAGTGGTATTTTGGATTGGGGCCTAATTCTTTAGTTTTTGTTGCTCTGAGAGGCTTTGATCCTGGCAAAATGTTGTTTTCTAGTTGCCGAGTTCCCTCCATTATAACTGATTCTGACTTTTTTTTTCTGTTGGAAAGTATAGATTCATCAAAATAAAATTTGTCACATAAACATTTTGACCCAGATTTGTCAGGAAGGTTTTCAGGTGTCCAAGGTGGAATGAAAGAAACTCAAGCTTTGTAAGGATCAATATTTCCATCAGCTGGGGTCTGGGAAATCCTGTTTCTGCTTTGTGGCAGAGGAAGAACTTGAGTTCATGCCTCAAGTTAAGTATAAATGCTGTAGAATATACTCAGTCTTTCTCTGGCCAAGTTTGATTTATACAAAGCTGACCTGCTTTAGAAGGATAGACTGACAGACTGATGGTCAGATCCACAAAAATCTTAGGAGGAATTTAAGTGCCTAAGTCCAGAAACTTGATCCACAAAATTCCCAACTAACTCCTTAGGCTCCTGAAAATCCATAGGTGGCTATTGGCTTTGCCAGTAAAGTTCCTTAGGCACATTAACTAGCATCACTTGAGGTAGCATAAATATAAAGGCATACAGTACCTAGAAAGGAAAGCTTTAGGTGACATTTGGACCAAAGCAGTGGACTCCTTCCAAGTGTAGACACTTAAGCTTTTATAAGGTTGTATTTCTTCTTACGAATGTTATATTTACATCATGATTGGCTATATGTTGTTTTTAAGGGGTTTACAACCTTATTAAGAGGTCTTATGATAATGTAGAAGCAAATCCTACAAAAATTCTAAAATTGTCGCATCTGATGTGCCAGCCAAACCAAAAAACTAAGCTGCAGCCCTCCTTACTATAGCAGTACTTATGGTTGATAGTTTCATTGTTAAACATTTTCATAACATTGGGATTTAGTTGCCTCGGTGACTTTTCAATAAGGCACTAAGCTATATTCTTAATAGGTGAAAACTTACACAGCATCTATTAGCAAATAAAGGGATCTCTAAATGTAACTGCTTATTACGTTCACAGGATAAATTCACTCATGCTAGGGCCTAAGTCTACTGACACTTTACAGTTAGTTTAGAAAGAAATTTTATGGTTGAAATGAGCATAAAGATGGAAACCCTTCAAGCAGCTGATAAAGTGAAAAACTTTGTTGACTTGATATAAAGAAAAAAAACCCTGCAGAATGCATACATTGTCTGATTCTGATCCTAGGTAAATTTACTCCAGAACCCAAAGTATTTTTGTAGAAGCATTTAGTTTTGCAAAATAAATAAAATATAATAAACATTGCCAGATTTATCTACATAGTTTACCATAAAATCAGTGTACTCACCCCTTATTTCTTGGTGTCTTTTATATTTGAGTGTGTACGATATTTATGTATCCTTAAACATTATGGATTCCTCTTTTTAATCATAATTTAATATAAATGGTGTTCCTATTACACTGTGGCTAGGTACAGACATTCAGGGAGGTTAGGAGGAGATTACATCATGTAAAAAAAAATGGCCACCAATCTACTTCAGTTTGTCCAGACGCGGACTTCATACTTAGATCCCTAGTTAAGTCTATCTAAGTGTGAACTATACAGGAGTACAAGAAGGTTAGATGGATTTAAAAATATGTGTGTGTGTCCCCCCAATCTGTCTGTCTACAAAGTCATCAGGGGGGACAGCAAGAGATAGGAGATGCTCTGTTTACCAGGGCACCCTTTGGAGTAACTAGAAATAACAGCCACAAACTGACACTGACCAGATTCAGCTTAGACATCAGGAAGAACTTCTTTATGGTAAGGGTCACCAGAATTTGGAATGGGCTTCCAAGGGAGTTGGTGTTCTCCCCTACCTTGGGGGTCTTTAAGAGGAGACTGTACAAGCACCTGGTTAGGGTCATCTGACCCCAGCGCTCTTTCCTGCCTGGGGCAGGGGATGGGACTCAGTGATCTGCTGAGGTCCCTTCCGACCCTAATATCTATGAATCTATTAATCTAATTTAACTCTCTCTCAGAGGTCATCTAAATCAGATCAGGTCTGACTGAATTAAAGTTCAGGATCCACGTGAACTTCTGTACAGTTACCAGAGCAGCCCTGGGGCTGGGAAAGCTCAGTCATTGGTCCAGCCCTGGGGCTGTGCTTTTTCTACCCCTCCTGGCACTGGGCTATTTTTAGCCCCCGGACCTCTTGCACCACACCTAGATAGAGGGCTAGCTGGTTTGCAATGTTCCGCCTTGCAGACCAGCCAGCCATCTCAGTCTCTCAAACCCCACATCCTGCAAGCTGCTCCCAGCAGTAGTTTTATCGCATTTGCCAGTGCTAGGATCTGAGGAAGTAAGTTGGGCTTGGGGAAGGAGTGGGTGGTTGCTTTGCTGGGGAAGGGGTTGTTCATGTGGTGGGGGGAAGAGGGGGGGGCTCCTGGTCTTGGGCAGAAAAAGCCCCTCAATCTGTACACCCCTCCCCCAACTCTGACTTGCTTTAGTCAGGCTTCCAGGACTTGTGACGACTGGTAAAACCTGTCCCAGGAGAGGTTTGCTGGATTAGAGGCAGGTTGGTGGCATCAGGGTGGGCTCAGGAAATCAGTCGGGGGTTTAGTGGGTTTGGAAAACCTCTTCAATCCTGCCGAATGCCCCTGCAATCTTCCCAAGCCTCCCCACAAACCCCACTTGGTCCCTGAACCCCTGCTGGACCCCCTGATTACCCAAGTCCCCCCATGGACTACCATTTGTCCCCCAAATTCTCCCCTACTAGCCCCCCATCCTGACTCACCCTAATTTGGGTGGCCATTTTTAACTCAATTTAACCTCCTCCTAACCTCCCCAAATATCTGGATATACCCTATAAGTGGGGCTTGTCCACAAGTATTGACATTTTTTTAGTACAACTGATACAACACCAGAATACAAATCTTCAATGCTTTGCATTTTCTTTCCAAAACCAAGCCAAAAGTCTTCCCCACCTTAGTTGTCCCAGTAATTCCATCAGAGCTACATCAACTCCATTTCAACTATTTATTAATAGTAATGTCAGAAGAATCTGATTCAGTCATAAGAAGATTAACATTTTAGTACCAGAAGCTTGTCTTTCCACAATAGACCTCCCTTTTTTTTAAATCCATGCTTTTACAACCAGTTTTAAGTACTGAGCTACTGGGAAGAAACTATGCGCAGCAGTTGAGGGCTGAAAGGGACCTCGTCAAAATAGGATAGCAGAATCTGGCCCTAAATGAGGAACAAAATAATGAACAGGACCTTGGTTTTACCATATAATTCCAGCATCTCCTTTTGGTATTGGAGAAGGAAAACAGAATCTGTTTAGAATCTGATTAGTCCATTTGGTGCAATAAGAAATATAGGGCAGGTTCAGGAGCATAATTTGAATCTGAATCTTGGGGATGTAAAGGATGGGGTGGTCCCCTGGGTTTCAAAATTCATTTGTGGAAAAAGGTGCTCTGTGAATATGCAAATTAGGCAGAGGCCAAGCTCTAGCAAGTTTCTTCCCTGAACATGTCAGATGTTAGACAGGGAGTTGAATTTTGCTTATTTCCTGTTTAGCAATGAAGTTTACATTTCCAAACAGCTAATTACAATATTTTCCATGTTTCAGGGAAATAGCACAAAGGCAGACAAAAGTCCTGGCCTAGAGGCGATATCTTTATTAAACCAACCAAATAGTAGCAAAAAAATAATCTGCATATACACAGAGCAACTTTTTTACAAATGGCCTTTGAAACCCAAGGGAACCAAACCATCCTTTACCTCTCCTGTGCAAGATGAAGTTTCTTTTCTGCCTGGGAGAACTTT